TCTCGAATTCCTTCACATGTATATGCTCAATTTGTCAACAGACAAGTTTTCCAGTGGTAGAAGAGCTTGCCCTTCGAATTGGATGCTAAATCCTCCTTCCTCATCTTTGAATTTTTTTTAAACCAAAGATTCTTGTGTAGTTAGGCAGCTTCTTGATTATGATTATTAATTCATTATTTTTAAAAATTATTTTACAGCAAGTATAATACTATACGAAAAGTAATGAGAATAATTAAAACAAGTAAAACAATTATATCACACGAACAATAATGAAACTAAGTCAAAATAAGTCATAAAATTTACGAGTTATAAGTTTCACCTTTGAGATGTTTAAGAGAATTTGATTAAGTAGCTCAAATTTGGAAATAATTGATAAATCCCCTTCTTAACCTTTCTTTGAAATACGAATGTTTCTCCCTTTTTCCTTTCTGCTTAAGAAATATGTGACAAATAGTTATGTGTCACTGAACTCCACTATGTCATCTGATCGAAACACAGTTAACCTCTCACTACTTCATATATATAATAGGCTAATGTATCATTTTCGTAATGAACATATTCTTTCCATGATGAAGGTGTCTTTCAAATGTGCTCTTTTCATGATATCCAATAAACACTTTCTCATTAACTGCTTTTAAGCAATATTTTCTACTTGGTATATATAAGAGTCTTGGCAATTCATCACGGACAAATTAGAAATTCAATATATTCACTCTCAAAGATATTCTTTCACAAGCTCTCTCTAAGTTCTTCCTTAAATTCTACCTTTACCTATCTTTACTTGCCACAGTACTTAATACTCAATATTTTAATTTTTCATCAAGGTTGAGTGATTTATAAAATCACTTTTGGACAATTTTTACTTTTTAAAAGGGTGCATAAAAAAATACCCCCCAAAATAAATAATAAATTCTTAAGTAGTAAGTTTTTATTTTTTTCAAATATTCTTTGAAGCTAACGAAAAGAATATTACACATTTCTCTCCATTTTCCCCCCTTTGATTATGTATATAATATTTGTTTGGGTAGCAAACTCTTTATTAGTTTGACAAATTAAATTCATTTATTCCCTTAAAGATTATTTATGCAATTTAAAATGTTAAAAGTTAGTTATCAAAGATACATATAATTTTCATATTATGTACTGCTTTGACTAATTGTAATTTTTTGAAGAAATAAGATATTTAATATTTCATAAATCGATATGTTAATGGAATATTAAAATTTTTAATTTATTAACTTTTAAAATATGATTATTTCAGAGCATTTAAGCATTTGGCTCATTGATTGGTACATAATTCTATTACCTAAAAAGACGTTTGATTTTTATAAGATACCAAACATGCATAGTGATGATATGTAATTGCTAGTAATTAAAGATTATTGTGTAAAATCATATCCAATATGGTGATCTTAATTCACCAACGATAGTAGTATTCTTGTAGCGAGAAGATCACCCTATAAAGTTTTAACTAGATCACTATGATAATCTTGAAAAACGTAAAACCAAACAGTACCTTAAAGGTGAAAATAAATAAATAAAGAGAGAAGAATACTGCATGAGACTGGATTCCCTCTAAGAGGGGAAAGGGAGAACATTCCATGTTCGGGAGAATAATTTGGCAATTGTCAGAGATACCAATATTGTTTTCACATTTTATGATAATACGCATAACGTTCTTTTCTTGTGGGCAGGACCAAATAAGAGGCCAGGGGAATTGAACGTGGGAGGCTGCGTTTCTTATAGCTGTGGAATCAAAAACCCATAAACCTAACAAAAAAGACAAAAAAAAAAGATGGGTTAATTATTGTGTACTCTACATTTTTAATCTAAAAGATATTTTTATCATTTGAAAGAAGACCTTTATTCATAAACCAAGACCCATCGACTTACAAAACAACAAAAATAAAAGAGACAGAAGAGAAGATAGCTCCACAGAAATGAGGGCTTGTTTTTCAAAGTTCATAAATGCATGAAATTATGTTAAAGTTTCGACACGTGAAAACTGCACCCAACAAAAGAGTAATGATAAATAGTTTTATGTAATGCGACATTTTGGAAAGCTAATTATCATTACTCTTTTATTTTGTAAGAAATTTTTGTTCTTTCATTACATATCAATACTATAACAAGTTTTTAATATGATTGACGGTTACCATTACTCTCTATGAATTATAAACTCGATGATTGACTTGGACTGATACGCATAGGCTAAATTTATCCTTACCATGACATTCCAACAGTTCAAAATTTTTGTGCTTTAGTTGATGGCATGAAATTGAAGGTAAGAATTACCTTGGTATAATAATTTTGAAGAGTGCAGACCATACGACTGTAGATGTGGGTGTAAAACAAGTAAGGCATATGCCGTGTATGGCAAGAATTTAGTAAAGGGAGGAGTACCGTTTGATATTTTTCCATTAAGGTAAGTATCATGGATCTTTTTCTTTATTGACTTTCGGGTATACGGTAGTGGATCCGATTCCATAATCACCTCTTCGGTGCCAGATGCAATGCCTCATTTTAGTACACAAGGTCAAAATGCAGAGCTAACCACTAGTATCAAGTAACACAGGAACCATTATGTTCTCACAAAAGAAGAGACACGTAGATGAAGGGAACATAATGGGATCCATAACGAATGTAGCGAAAGCCCTCAGAGGTGATAAAAGTAGCGTTTTTTTAGGCTTTCCATAAATTTGTGTAACTTTTTTGCACCACAAAAGGAAAATATTTGTATAACTTCTTTCGAGATTCATGAACGTCCAAAGGCCTATTGATTTGGGGCCTCTTGAGCTTAAAATTGATGCACTGGACCATGGCCCAACATTGTACGTACATGGTGCAAGCCTCTTAAACTTTGTGGTTGGGGCCTTTTTGGGGCTCAAGGCATAAGAAGATTTAACTTAAAAATTGATATTATATGAATGACAAAAATATATAAAATCGTCAAAGCTTCCATTTTTGTTTCTTTTGATTTATTAGGAGATATATATTGCTAATTTGCCATATAGAAGAAGAAGGATAAATCCTACATTAAATTGATTTAATAAGAAATTATAAATTATGACAGAATCAAGATTTTTTTATTATTATTATACAAGACGTGTCCATGGATTTAAAAAAATTCATCTTATGTGCATAATTAAGCATCAAATTTACCATTTTTTACATCAACTCTTAATATTGAAATCTTTTTTTTTTTTTGGGGTCACAAACCCATTAGCAGTACTCCATTTTTATAGAAATGATGAAGAATGGATTCTCTATATTATATACTTCCATAAATTATTTTATACAACTTTTCTGGCCAATAAAAATTAAGTATCGGCTACCTTAACTAAAAGGGGTAAGGTGATAGTAGAATAATTCATCACTTAAATGAATTAGAGGTTGGCTGATTTTCAAGATTTGAAACGGTAATTAATATATAATTTCCTTTCGAATTTAGTGTAAATTTTAATAACAAGTGTTATAGGTACCTGTTAATCGACCCTATAGAAATCATTTCCAGCGAGCTGCCAACCCAATACAAACTCAGCTAAAGACATGTTCCGCTCTAAATTCTGATGCTGTATTAAACTTTAAATTTAATAAAGAGTTTAGTAAGAACTCGAGTATTTGACTCATTGATTGGTATATAATTTTTTATTTAAAAAGTAAAATTTGATTTTTTTAATTAAAAAAAAAGAGTTTGATAAGTTTAAATACAATTTATCATTAGCTCATAATTTTAAGCCAAAAAACATATTGTGAAAGAAAATTATTATATATAAATCAAGACGGATCTTTTCTTTTATTAATATGAAATACGACATTAACATATGCATGAGTAGTTTAATAACTTCAAAAGTTTAAAGTTAAATATTCAAATAAGATCAGTTTTATAAAAATTAAGAAAAAAATTATTAAAATTTTATTTTTTTTATTTTTTTTATTTTTTGAGATGTAAAATTTTTTATTAAACTTTTATATTATAAATTGAAAAAAAGTGATTTTATATGTAAAAAATAGTTGTTGAAAATCATTAAATACATAATATCATTAAATTGATTGAAAATGAGAAAAATAGTTGAGAATTAATAATGGGAATTGGAAAGTAATAAAAAATTGAAAAGTGAAAGAATACATCATTTTATTAATTATCTTGATTTTTATTTTTTTAAAATAAAAAATAAGATAAATAATTGAAAATTAATAGAGATGTGAGAGGTGAAAGAAAATAAATATTTGTTAGGCACTTAATTTTAAAAGTAGAAGAATATATAGATATTTTATTAATTATTTTAATTTTATATATTTGTAATATAATTAATTATATTATTATGAAATTATAAAAATTATAAAAATTTGAGACCTAAAATATGTGATTTCGTGACTTTATGATGGGGCCGGGCCAGATCATATGACGTGACATCAACTTCAAATACTATTGAAAGTTCAATCAGAAGGATGATGGGAAGATCCTTGTTTAATTTATATAACTTCGAAGCTCGCATCAATGCAAGTTTGCAATTTTACTTTGATACTTAATAAAAGAAGAAGCGAATATCCCAAGCTTTTGCCTCTCTTTGTATGTTTGATTATATCCCTCGATGTGTTCCATGTGCCATTTCTATTACAGATTTGATTAGATTCCACATTACACTTGCTCAATAGTATTTCTATTAATTTCATGACCTTGTGCTGCTCCAGTTGTCCACAGTCGTATTTTAGTTCATAAATTAATCACTCAAGTTCAAATTACTACACATGCGAGTGGCAACATATAATACTACCGTTTATAAATTTCGTATAAAGGTAGATCTACAAATTTATGAACAAGATAATTAAATTAAATTAATTAATAATGATCAGGGTAACAACTGCATTTTATATTTTCGCATTTCTGCTATAAACACGTTATAATTTTAAAAAAAGAAAATGAAAGAGAAAACTAGATGACAGCTAGTATTTGTTGCTTTATTTACTTTGCCTCAGTGGAAAGAAGTAAAAAAATCTTCAACTCACTTCCCATTTTCTCTCAGTAGGAGTTGGAAGCACTCACTCCTCTTTGTTGCACTTTACATTAAAACAAAGGGACTCAAACACACAGAGAGAGAAATCTGAGTGAATTTTTACGCACAGAAAAATCTCTCTTTTCTTCTGATTCTATTTTTCCTCTGCAAAAAAGGATTCCATCAAAGAATGGCCGATGAACCTTCTCTCACTCGCTGGTCTTTTCTGGTATTTTCTTTTTCCCTCTCTCTGTTTTTCTGTTTGGTTGCCGAAATAACTGAAGCAAAGAAAAATAGGGACTTTTTTGTTTTCTTTTTGAAAAATAATCGTTGTTTTGTTCCTGATTTCACTTAAACTAACTGAACTGAATGCAGTTACTTGACTTACTTCGGTTACCCCTCTTTTTTTTTTTTTAATAAAATTTTCTACTCATTTATTAGCCTAGATTACATCGGATTCAAGAAAATTTTGATTCTTTCCCTTTTTTTTTGGTGGTCTTAAAATTTTAAGTTGTGATCAAACTGTGTGAAGAAATGTTGGTCACAAAAAAAAAAGAAGAAGAAAAGTTTAAGCATTTTCTTGAAGCAATTATGTTATTATCTATAGGATTTTAAAATGTTTTATGATGCCAAGTTTGGGAGGAAGAGATTACCTGAGCCGCAAGATGGTCAAGCTGCTGATACGCCCGTGTCCACCAGCACTTCTTCGAATGTGTCCGCAAAACGGAACCATTCTGTCAAGAACACTTCTGATATGGCTATTTACGAGCAGTATCGAAATCGGGTAGCTCATTTTTTTTAGCCATTGCGATTTTAAATTTAAATGCTATATATATATATATATATTAGCATTTTTGTGTTTCTTGATTGGATGATTTGTTTTTGTTTTGTTTGGCTTCAGGATACCAACTTGATGAACTCAAATGGTCCGGTTGCTAATGGATTTGATTCGAGACCGTATGTTCATTCTTCCTGTGATTCGTAACTTGAATAAATTTGTTTAGTTACACTTTAGAATATAAGATGGATGGATCTAAGTTTGGTTTTTATATGGTATAGTTCTCGACATTGATCAAATGATTAATGTTTTCTGTTTTGAGTTGAATCCTAGTAGTTACTGAGGATCAAGATATGATTCTCCAGTTCTTTGAAAACTGATGATTTTGATGTGTCTTTTTTATTCAGGCAAAAGTCTCTGCTTCCTGATTTTGAAACTGCTGAAATGCGAGCTTTAGGAGAGAGTTTAAGTAGGTAATTATGAATATCAGTTTCTTCATTGGTGATAGAATTGAAGTTTTGTTTGTTGTATTTGAATTGCTTGGGTGGTATATTCTTTTACATTAGAACTTGAAAATTTTGTCTACTTCATATCATCTTACATCATATCTTTTTTAGGGACATTGTTCGTGGGAGTCCAGATGTTAAGTGGGAAAGCATCAAGGGATTAGAGAATGCCAAACGTTTACTTAAAGAGGCCGTTGTTATGCCAATAAAATATCCCAAGTAAGTCTTGCTACACCTTAGACCATGGAGTCTGTGCACGTGTACTTCACTAGTCTTTTAATTCCTTGAAAAGTCTGACTGTTATGTGGACTGCCATGACCTCTTTTTTATAACTGGATTGCTAGCTTATGTTGCTGGATCCATAAAAATCTGACATTTCTTGCATTTTTGCCATCTGTATTGTATTTAAACCTACCCTTTGTGCAGTTTCCCCTATATTTAAGTTTCATTTTGTGCATATCAAATGAATAAAGTGAGCAGCATGTGTGTCAGATTAAGTAGAAATTTTTCGTATGAAAATTAGAAAGTAGAGGCCAAAGCTTTTTGTACTTGTCCTAAATATCAAAATCAGAATCCTCCATTTGGCTCAGAACTTTCCTTTGGTAGAGCTACAAAGATTAACAAGTGCCTTTCTAGGATAATGTTATCAAGTCAATAAGATTCCAAATCTGGTACTCTTAGAAGTGCATGAAATAAGGATTCTTGTCAAGAGTTGTTACTTGTGAAGGCTTAGGTGCTGTAAAAGCTAGTCCTCTGGAAGTGCATGGATTATATTACAAAGGAAATCAAACTTTTCTTCAGAATGCTTTGGATGCTCACCCTTATAATATTAGTTCATTTGCTGGTTCTCTTTCCCATACTTGAGATCAATGGGAATAGTTTGTCAAGCACCGGCTTTAATTTTTATCTATTGATTTAGTGAAATATTAATGAAATATTCTATAATATGTTATGAAGGAACTTGAAGCTTTCATTTCACACTTGATATGATTTCTTGTAGGTACTTCACTGGTCTTCTTTCACCATGGAAGGGTATTCTCCTTTTTGGGCCCCCAGGGACAGGAAAGGTCTGTATGTTGTTCAATTGTTTCCAATAAATTAATGTTGTCTTATGCAAGCCATTTCCATAATGTAGTAGATATGCTTGGTTAGTACAAAGAAAGCATGTCCTTCATAGTCACATAGTAAATTCTGATTAACAGTAGGGCACAATCACCTCAATACTGGGAGAAAAAGTTATGCATCAGGGAAAATAATTTGCTATATCTTGGTAGTGCTTATTCTTCTCTTTCGTTTTTCATTTCTTTTTTAGCTTATACTTGAATCACCATTCTGGTTGCAGACAATGCTGGCAAAGGCTGTTGCAACAGAATGCAAGACTACATTTTTCAATATTTCAGCATCATCTGTAGTCAGCAAATGGCGTGGTATGTTAAAGAAAATCTTCCAAGATCTTATTTGATTTGTGGAGGGACTTGGTCCTAGGTATGAAAGTTACGAAAAATTGTCTCTAAAATGGAGAGTTGCAAGATGTTGTTGTAGTTTATAAGGTTATGAGATGAGCCAATGTACCTGTTGGGACCCGACCCAATAATTTTTATAGTTGTTATAAAAGTAGCACTCAGTTATCTAACTGTGGAGTTCATGACATTCCAGGTGATTCTGAGAAGTTAATAAAAGTACTGTTTGACCTAGCAAGGCACCATGCACCGTCTACCATATTTCTTGATGAAATTGATGCAATTATAAGTCAGCGCGGTGGTGAAGGACGCAGTGAGCATGAAGCAAGTAGGCGTTTGAAAACTGAGCTACTTATACAGGTGATGTTTTGTTTTTTAAAAATGTGTTCTTATTTTTTGGGGCATAAACGTGTTCATTGTGTGTGTGATATTATTAATATTTCGATTGATTTATGCATTAGTATCAGATGCCTTGTAGAACTGCTGCACAGTGTGTAATGACAAACCTGGTGGTATTATAACCTGTTTATTTTAGTTATGTCTTCCACTCTAAAATCAAGTGAAATAATCATCATGAGAAATTAAGCTATGAGATATGTTCGTTTTTATCCTTATTAGTGATTTTTAATTAGAATATAGTTAGAATCTTAAACTGATTCTGCAGCAGCTTTATAGGTGCATTCTTGTTTGTTATTGTTTCAATCATATGATAAATGTCATCTGCAATTATTATAAGTATGATCTTACATCTTCCTCACTAGAAGTAGTTAGTCTATGGTGATTTAAAGTGAAATCATGGTAGCTTTCAATTATACTGTCTCAAAAATTGATCATTAGGACTAGATTGCAGATGGATGGTTTGACGCGGTCAGATGAGCTCGTGTTTGTTTTGGCTGCAACAAACCTCCCTTGGGAATTGGATGCAGCCATGCTCCGTCGTCTTGAGAAGCGAGTATCCTTTGACATGTTAATCTATTCTGTATTTTGCTAACAATATTAAGAATTATGGTAAAAGGTTCTGATATGCATATTTAATTTTGAATGGACAAAGAAATTTACTACAAAGCCAGGACATGATCGAAGCTTAGAAACCAACAGCGCTAATTTTTAATCTGACATGATTACAATGTGGTGCAAATCGTTTTGTAGTTGGCTTATGCTGTCTCCTAATCTTTTTAGCCTTGAATATATTGTTATTCTATCACTTGGTACTTACAATTAAGTTTGATGAAATCTTTTACACGATGAATGAGAAAATCCATCAGAAGTTCAAGATACGCTATTACTGAAGCAGTTTGCCTTTAACCAAGTTAAAAAAGATCCTTGTACCTCTCCCAGAGCCAGAAGCAAGAAGAGCCATGTTTGAAGAACTCCTGCCTGAACAGCGTGGCGAGGGGACTCTTCCTTATGATATATTAGTGGAAAAGTCAGAAGGTTACTCAGGTTCAGATATTCGATTACTCTGCAAAGAAGCAGCAATGCAGCCTTTGAGACGCCTAATGACAGTCCTTGAAGATAGGCATGAACTGGTGCCTGACGATGGTATGTGTCTCACTAAAAGGTTTTATTTCCTCTGATTTTCCATTTTGTTTTCCTTATTGTATCTTAATAGGCAAGAGAGATCACCGGAAGAAAAGAGCTCTTTTTGTCTCATAAATTTCTGCCTGCAGCATTTAGTTTAGTTATGAACTCAAAACTGTAATAATATTTGGTTCGTAGAGCTGCCGAAGGTTGGGCCGATTACGCCGGATGATATAGAAACTGCTTTGAAGAACACAAGACCATCAGCTCATTTACATGCTCATCGCTATGAGAAGTTCAACACAGACTATGGCAGCCAAATACTCCAATGACGGCACATTGCTGTGAAGATATAGAGTTTATTAATTATCAGATACCTATCAGTTTACGTAGGGCAGACTAGAAATTTTTTTTGGCGCCCTTTTAAGTGTTTTCCGCGAGTCCAATATGGCCTTGAATGTTTTTCATTTGTTTGACCAGATCTATTACCCTTTTGCGGTCGGGGCTCATTTTTCTCAGTTGAGGATAAAATGGTTGAATCAATCATAGACGACTATGATATGACATTATATTTAAATATCTTAATAAAAACTTCACTTCCAGGAAGATTGTTATTTTAGGAAATTGTTAAAAAAAGAAAAATAAAAATTTATCATTGTTTTGTTAGTTTTTTTCAAAACAATTTCAGATTTCATTCAATTCAACTTTTCTTTGCTTTAAGATCGTAATATCTCTTAATTTTCATTGAAGTCTTGAACACAGGCCTCCCAAATATGGACAAACCAAGGCATAAAACCCTAAAAATGAGTTTCTAATAATCGTGATAATGATAGCAATATTTCCAAAACTTTATGTAGTTAATGGCACAAAGGAAAATTCTCTTGGTCAAGACTTTTTACCATTTTTGGCCTGCAACATAATCATCGTGCTATAATTTCAAAGAACGAGAATTTCGGTCAAAACTGCCTGTCTTGTTAAAATAACCGAGGCGATCTCAAAGAGAGCAGCAATCTATTTGCAATGATACTTTATAAGCAAGAACAAAATGTCCAGACAAACTTAAACACGAGATGACTAACTCCACAAAACACAAAAGTAGGCCAATGCAGCAAAAAAACATCCGCATAAGAAAAATCATTTCTGGTCAATCTCCTTTGGTTTGGATTCACCGATAACCTTGCAGAGGGTCCGCTGTTTTGCCAGACCTTGCATCAGTCCATGCTTTGGCAATTGTTCTCTTCATGTCATCATCACCATCCTCGTACATATTCTGTAATTTGCACAATTCAATGTCAGGGGAAAAAGTGGAGTAATTAGCCACTGAAATTTGTTATTGAACACATCCAACCTGCAATAATTCTGGAAGTAAACTTACCTTCATTAAGTCCATGATTCCAGCCATGGGGTCTCGCTCTTTATCCAAATTTGGCTTCAGCTACGTGAACAGAAACACGTATTTTAGATTAACTGCAAAGGATGGAAATTAAAAGTAACTCTTATTTGTCCTAAATTGTTGGCAATTACCTTGTCCTCCTTGTAGTGCAGATCAGACCAGCTCCCTTTGGAAGCTTTGAACAATGTGATGACGACTCTCGTAGGCTTGACCAACACCTTGCACTTCTCTGGTACAATGTCTTTATTCAACTTCGGAATGGCACATCGATAGTTCTTTCCTTGGACGCCATGAAATTTAACATCAAATGACATTGGCTTGAACTCTGTCTGAATTTTTTCCTGGTTAACTCCCTCTAGAGAGATATATATCTGTCGGACAAACAAAAAGTAAGTAAAAATAAAAAATAAAAATCAGTGCAACCATAATGCAGAATATGTAGTGCTCATAATTTCAGAGGACTCCAACAAGCTCCTGCCCTGTCATAGAGAACATTATTTATGATGATGAAACTACTGACAAACCACATTATGTACACCAATAAGTCAATGAATTATTTTCTCTTTCAGGTTGCAATGTTGGGACTTGGGAATTTGATATTTGTATTGGAAATGACAGACACAACGATGGAAAAATCTTAAATCTCTAAGAACATAAATTTTTACCTTGACTTTATCATTATCCTGGTCCCAGCTGAACGAGGCGAGCGTAACATAACTCAATGCTGGGTTAACAGGAACCTTAACTGAAGTTGATATGGGAGTTGGAATTTGTGAAGCCGTAGCAGGAGCAGGTGCATTTGCAATCTCGTTTGATGTCTGCAACTAAAGAATCCATAGTTTAGAATCAAGAAAAGATACCAAACACTTTCTCCAATGACCAATCTCAAATTAAATTGCAGAACCATGATATCTTTGAGCCGATAAAAATTGTTTAGTTGAAATGGCTTTCACATTTCAACCATTCCCATTAAATTTCAACTTTGGACAAATAAAAAAAAATTATTAATCTTCAGATTCCATTGGAAAAGTACTCCAGAATGGAAAGAGCCCACGAGAACTCAGAATCTAAAGTTCAAAACTCAGACTTACAGCTCCTAAAATCAAAATATATGGAACCCAATTCATTCAAAATATCAAAATTTCAATACCCAGAGAAAATTGTGCTAGTTAGAGGAAAGATTGAAACCTTTTCCAAGTTGCGAATTTCGGAGGAAAGAAGAGATAGAATACGTGGCCTCTTTGCGATGCTTTGGAGTTGCCTAAGCTCCTCTAAATCAAGCGCCACTTCTTCCGCCATTTTCTAAATTCAGCTTCTTTTGGGTGTCTAGATTTTATCAGAGAGAATGAGAGGGATGGTTAAGCCTAGTGTATTTATAAGACAGGCTTATTTTTCTGTAGAAGATGCTAGAACCTGGTAAAGATAGAAGTTGGTAAGTTCAGGATTTATTTTCCAAAAAAATGATTTCCGTAATTAATAAAAGGAAATATGATTTAGCCCATTAGGGTTTTGGAAGAAGCAAAGAAAGTTCTGGTCGTTTTGATAAACAAAATGGAAAATGAGAAAGTGACAAGTGTCAGGTGGTTATTGGGTCTTATACTTTGGGCTGAGTCAGGTGATTTCAGGCCTCCACGGTACTGGAAATTGGGCATTTTAACCCAACCTGGATATGAATCAGGCCTCATATCTATTCAAGCCCATAGGATATGTCGTGTTGCGCTCCCTGTCTTTAATAAAAGAATCAGATTTTAATGTTTTTTTTATTATGAATATTTTTATAAATATTTATTTATATTATCTATATTTAAATTTAATGTAAATTAGATTGAATTAAAATTTAATTCATCTAATCTCTAAGTGGTATCTTTATCTTGTAAATTCAATTTAGATAAAGGGTTATTAGCCTATGAATAAGCCCTTCACTTCATTTGTAAATATATACTTGAATAAAATCTTCTTACTCTCTCTAAATACTTTCTTTCCCTTTAAATATTCTCTCTTATATTTCTCTTATAGTGGTTCTTTTAGATTTATTTTATAACACGTTATCAACACGATTCTCTCTAATCTCTCAAGTTTTGAAATTATTTTGTTTTCATCATCTTCAAGCTTCAAAAGGATTTTAATTATTGGGTTTTAATTTCTGATTTTAGAAAATCAAGTAAGTGACTTGATATTTTTTTAGTATTTTCATTCTCTTAAAATCAACCTTAATATAAATTTTATATTCTGTCTTTTGATTGGAAAGTGAATTGATTATTATATAACTATTAATGACAAACCACGAAGGTTCATTCCAAAGTGAATGTGATAAACAAAATACTAATAAAAAATTATAAATTCGTCCATTCTTTTAAGTGAATGCGACATCATTTAATAATTATGGTCATAATTATGAATCTATCCATCCCTTTAAGTGAATATAACATCATTTAATTATGATGACCATAACAATTTACAATATCACTATTTTTATTATTATTTTACCAACAAAAGTGGATGGATATTTTATCATATGAATTTAAGAATAATTTTACTGCTAGAAGTGGATAGATAATTTTACCATACAAAATAGATGGATGCCTATAATCCACAAGAAGTGGATAACCCATCATATGTGGATCACCCATTAAAATTGAATATATATTTTATAACCTACAATAAATAGATGAATACTTTCAACGTACTAAAAATAGATAGATACCTTAACCCACTAGTCTACTAAAAATGGATGAATACTTGTAATCCACCAAAAATAGATAAATAATGAATACTTGTAATCCAAAAAAAATAGATAAATAGTGAAAATAATAAAAAGAATATAGAAAATATATTATTATTGATGTGACATGAACGATCATTGATCGCGTATTTGTTGTACGTTTTAAATTTTGTCAAGCATCACTGAAAATTGAAATATCTTATGATAATTTTAATAATGGCTAAGTTGATATAGCACATCAAGATATTTGTCCACATTGAAAGAGGAATTGATTATATGATTGGCAATAAAAATATATATTATTGATTTTCTTGTCTTGAAAAAAGAATTAATCATTTGATTGGTAATAAAAATATACTGGAAATGACATTAATATAATATGGTATATTTAGTAATAACTATATTATGGATGATGCCTTTAATATGTTTTCATTATATTTAAATGATATGTTTTTATTATGTGTTTTAATTTTGTATTTAATATTCTTTTATATTTACTTGCAAGTTTCTTATTGTATATGTTTTATTTTATTGAAGAAAATAGAGAAATTGATCTTGTTGGATCTAAGATCAATAATATAAATATATGTTTAGTAGACATTGCTACAACACACACTATATTTAAAGACAATAAATATTTTTTCTACTCAACAAAAAAAAAATAATATCAGTTTAATATCAGGTAGTACAAGATTAATTGGAGGCTCTAGAAGAGCTAATATTTTACTACCTTGAGAAATAAAGCAATAGATGATATATTATTTTCTATTAAGACTCAAAGAAGTTTATTAAGTTTTAAAGATATTCATTTGGATATATATCATATTGAGACAACAAAAGAAAAAAACACTTAATATCTCTATATTACATATATTATCTCAAGTAGAAAGTGTGTGTTGTAAAAAAAAATTACTCATTCTGTTCTCAAAATTAAATTATACAAATATTAGAATAATTAAAACCTATAGCAAACCAGAAGTTTACTAATGATTTTAATATTTGGCATGATTGGTCGGACCATCCCGGATCAATAATAATGCAAAAAAATTGATTGAAAATTTATACGATCATTCATTAAAAAACGAAAAGATTTTTTAATCTAATAAATTTTATGTGCTGCTTGCTTTGAAGGCAAATAAATTATAAAACTATCACCAGCTAAAGTTGGGATTCAATTCTTTCGTATTTGAATAATATTCAAGGTTATATATGGATTCATACATTCACCATGTGAACTATTTAGATATTTTATAATTTTAATCGCTGCATCGACTAGATGGTCACATGTGTGCTTATTATCAGCTTGCAATTTAGCATTTGCAATCATTCGTTTGCAAGCACATTTTTCTAGTTAAATAATCAAGACTATTTATCTTGACAATGCTAGTGGATTTACATCTCAAACCTTTAATATTGCATATTAGTTGAAAAAACTATTGAACAACCTGTTGCTTATGTTTGTACTCAAAACAGTTTAACAAAATCGTTTATTAAACACTTCTAACTGATTGCAAGGCTATTACTTATGAAATTCAAACTCCCAATGACTACTTGAGGTTATGATATTTTGGATGCAATAGCATTTGTATGCATCAGGCCAAATGAGTTATTATAAATTATCTCTATTCTATTGATTTATGGTCAAGAACCAAATATTTCTCATCTAAGAATTTTTGGATGTGCTGTATATGTTTCAATTGCTCCACCACAACGCACAAAGATGGATCCTCAAAGGAGATTATGAATATATGTTAGATACGAATCTCCATTTGTAATTAAATACCTAGAATTATTAATAGGAGATTTATTCATGACAAAGTTTATCAATTGTCATATTGATGAAACAATTTTTTTGACATTAGGGGGAGAAAAATAAGCAACTGTAAAAGAAAATTTTTTAGAATAAATTATCATTATTTAGTTTTGATCCTCGTAAAAATTAATATGAACTTGAAGTTCAAAAGATTATTATTTTACAAAATATAGTAAATCAATTGCCAGAAGTATTTACTGACCTAAAAGAATAATTAAATCTTATATACCAGCTGCAAATACTCCTATTAGCATTGATGTCCTTGTAGGACAAGGCACGCAAAAAACGTGGAGATCAATCGGTTTCAAAGATAAAATCCTAGAAAAAGAAAAAGAGAAAATATTTAAGATAGTCAAAAAGAGGAAGTAGAAACTCTAGAAAAGACCCTTAACATAATTGAGAAAAATTTCAGAAGAAATTCAGGTACCTAAAATCATTGAAAGAGAAGAGATCTCAATCAATTATGTCATGACCAGAAAAGATGGAATCGATAAATAAACGTTGACGATATTTTGTATATAATATGAAGCTCAATATTATGAAAGAAAAAAGAAGATCTTGAACTTCTATTTATTAAAAAATGTAGACAAAGAAATGATTGGCCAATGTGAAAAGACGCAATTAAGGAAGAATTGAATTTATTTGCAAAATATGAAGTTTTTGGACCTGTAGTCCATACATCAAATGGTGTAAAACCAATGAGATATGAATGGGTATTTGTGCAAATATGAAATGAGAAAATTGAAATTATGAGATATAAAGTACGACTTGTCGCATAAGATTTTATCCAAAAATTGGTATTAAATATGAAGTGATATTGTGGATGCAATTATAATTCTATATTAACTAGTTTGGCAATATATGAGAAGATTGAAATGCTTCTAATGAATATAGCTACGGCCTATTTATATGGCCCATTTGATATCGATATCTATATGAAAAACCCTAAAAGATTTAAATTGCCTGAAGCACAAAAATTTGAATTCTTGAAAAATTTACTCAATTAAATTACATAAATCTTTATATGGATTAAAGCAATTCAGACATATGTGGTATAATCGCCTTAGTGCATATTTGTTGAAAGAAGGTTACAAAAATAATCCTATATGCCCATGTATTTTATAAAAGGGTTTAGATATGAATTTATTATAATTGCTATCTATGTTGATGACTTGAACATTATTGAAACTCTTGAAGAGTTATCAAAAACCGTGGATTACTTAAAGAGAGAATTTGAGATGAAAGACTTTGAAAAAAAAATCAAGTTTTATTTGGGTCTTCGTATTGAAGATTTGACAAATGAAATTTTTGTCTATCAATCAAATTATATAACAAAAGTGTTAAAATAATTTTATATGGATAAAGCATATCCATTGAGTTCATCAATGATTGTAAGATTATTAGATATAAAAAAGAACTTTTTTCAACCTCGTGAGGATGATGAAGAACTTTTGGTCATGAAGTACCATATCTTATTACAATTAGAGTACTAATGTATCTTGCTAGCAATACAAGACTTGATATATGAATTGCTGTGAATTTATTAACAAGATTTAGTTCTTCTCTAACTCGAAGACATTGGAATTGAATTAAACATATACTTTGATATTTTCGAGAAACAATAGATATGGAATTACATTATTCAAATGCATCAAAATAAATTTTAATTAGTTATGCAGATGCAGAATATTTATCTGATCCACACAAAGCTTGATCATAGACAAGTTACTTGTTCACATATAGAGGTATAGCTATTTTATGGCATTTTGTAAAGCAAATTATAATTGCTATTTCTCCTGACCATGCAAAAATTTTAGTAACTCATAAGCAAGTCATAAATATGTTTGGTTAAGATTTGTAACTTAACGTATTTGAGAAACGTGTAGATTGTCAACCAAGAAAAAAATGTCAACAACGTTATATAAGGATAATACTGCTTACATAGCACAATTAAAGGAATGATATATTAAAGGCGATCGAACAAATACATAGTTCACCAAAATCCTTCTTCACTTATGATTTTCAAGAAAATGGGTGAAATTAGTATTCAATAAATTCAGTTAAGTGACAATTTAGTAAATTTGTTCACCAAACCCTTTCTTACTATAACATTTGAAAAGTTGGTATAAAAGATTAGAATGCATTATTTTAAAGATTTTTATAATGTACTCATCAAGGAGAGTAAAATACACACTGTACTCTTTTCTTTTATCAAAATTTTTTCCACTCGGTTTTTCTTGATAAGGTTTTTAATGAGGCAGTGTTTCAAAAGCGTATTCTTGAGAAGATTATGCACCCTTTTTCCTTCACTTGAATTTTTTTTTCATGAGGTTTTTTCTTTGTAAGGTTTTAACGATGCATATTCTTAATACAATTGATATTCAAAAAGAAGTGTTATAAATATTTTTATAAATATCCATTTATGTTATCTATATCTAGATTTAATGTAAATTAGATTGGATCAGAATTTAATCCATCAATCCCTAAATATTATCTTCATCCTATAAATTTAATCTAGATAAGGAGTTATTAGTCTATAAATAGACCTTTCACTTCATTTATAAATATATGTTTGAATAAAATCTTCTTACTTTTTCTGAATACTTTCTTTCTCTTTAAATATTTTTTTTATATTTCTTTTATAGTTATTCTTTTAGATTTATTTCATAACACTTTTTATATAATTATAATAATTAAATAATTGAACAAAAAATCCTTCAGGCATTGTAAAAAAGAAATAATGCCAAAAAAAAAAGGAAAGTAGTGACTCATTCGTGTCGTTGTGGCAGGCTTATGCTAAATGCACGTTGAAAGCATGGCAGCGGCCTTCGCAGACGAAAATATGTATCGTTAAGAGTATTTTTATTGTCCCAATTGGAAACGTAACCGATCACGTGAATCAACGCATGTAAAACAAATGTAACAATTTTGAAGGCATTTGGTATTGGGAAAAAGAAATTAATTAATTTGTGTCGGTTGATCTTGGCATTTTCGTCTACATTTATATGGGATTGTTTAAGAGGGGTTCAAGGGAAGGGAAGGGAAGGAATTCAATTACTGGTGTTAGATCAAGACTGCAGCAACAAAGGTAGGAAGAAATATGTGGAAGCTGGAGATAGCGGAAGGCGTCGGTCCGTGGCTCTTTTCTACGAACAAATTTATTGGCAGACAGGTTTGGAAATTCGACGCTGCTTCCGGGACGTTAGAGGAACGAGCTCTAATTGAAAACTTCCGACAAAATTTCTCCTTACATCGACATCATGTTAAAGCAAGTAGCGACATGCTTAAGAATTTTCAGGTTGTTAAGGTTTTAGTTTCTTTGAAAAGTTTTACTTGCAAAGAAATTGGCACTCTTACATGAACTTCACTGTCGTAATATTTTGAGTCAACTACATATGTTAAACTGTTTTTTGTCCAAAGTACAGCTCATGCAAGATAACCAGGTAGATCTAAACATAGCACCAGTGAGATTGGAAGACAATGAAGAAGTGACTCGTGAAAAAGTCACGACTGCTTTGAGGAAAGCTGTTCGATTCACTTCAGCTACACAAGCATGGGATGGACATTGGCCCTCGGAAAATTCAGGGCCATTGTTTTCCTTACCCCCTCTGGTATATATGCTTTCTATGCTCAATTCATCCCTTCAAAAACGAAGAAAGAGATCCGGGAAAAAGTGTCCAAAATGTGAGTTTTACCTCATGGTTGTAGCGTTTACAACTTGCAGGTTATGGTCTTGTACCTTACTGGAACACTTGATACCGTTCTATCTTCTGAACACAAAAGGGAAGTTCTTCGCTACATTTACAATCATCAAGTAGTAACCTCAACTCTTTGACACATTTACATGGATGAAAGTTCCCTTTAGTATGGTATGAGATACTTAATAGTACCAGTACTTCATTTTTCTTTTCCCCTGGCTAGCTAGAATAGAGATGGAGGATGGGGTTTCCACGTAGAGGGACACAGCACCATGTTGACCACGATTCTAAATTACATTGCCCTTCGTTTGCTTGGAGAAGGAACTGAAGGTGGCAAAGATGGGGCTGTCGAGAAGGCTAGAAATTGGATAGTCGATCACGGGGGTGCAACGATGATACCCTCATTGGGAAAGGCTTATCTTTCGGTATGAAATTTTTTCTGCTATTAGCCGTTACTTTTCTTGGTCAAAGAGGATAGCACTATGACTTGAATAGTTGAATTTGAAATCTTAATTCAAACCCCACATTTTCAACCACCTAAGCTAAGCTGAAGTGAACTCAGTTGGTGCTATACATGTTAGACATTCTCCTTAAAAATCAATTTTATTATTTATTTATTAAATAAATAAATTATTACATTAATTACTGTTTCATATATATGTATTATATTCTGTTGAAATATGGATCTAGACAAGTGAATCCAAATTCATTAATAAATTTACATAGACATTATCCAACTGCTAATTAGAATTGAATTATAATCATATTCCTACGATTTGTACATGTCTTATATAAATTGGTAAGTAGTGCTATTTAGTTGACTATCATAATCTAAAAAAATATATATGAATGGTGAATCTCTATGATTTTTATCTTAAATAACAATTATTATTATTAGATTAAAAATTAAAATTTCACATCTTGAAATATCTTTCAATTCCCTCAACTTTACTGCTGGATACACTTTAATGTATTGAAAATTTTAATGTAAAGGTACTAGGATTATGTGAATGGTCAGGGTGCAATCCAATGCCCCCAGAATTATGGCTTCTCCCTTCATATTTTCCTTTCAGTCCAGGTAAATCTAAAATTTCTTTTATAGTAAAACCTAAACTTGTTCTTTTTTTTTTGCTGACACTAATTATATATTTTCTCGTATGCACCCAGCGAGGCTATGGTCTTTCATGCGCAACTTTTATGCACCTATGTCTTACTTGTATGGAAAGAAATTTGTCGGGCCAATCACTGAGCTTATTTTATCATTGAGAGATGAAATTTACATCCAACCATATGAAAAGATAGATTGGAATAAAGCACGCCATTCCTGTTTAAAGGTTTGTCATATTTATACTCATGCTTGTTGATACTGTTAATCTATACTGCCAAGAATTTTGCAGTGCAGGTGAGATGAATTGGGGATACACAGGTGAAGGTGTTTTTGAACTTTCCAAAGCCTGGCAAGCTTATGATTTGTTTTCCCTGCAGGAAGATGTATATCGCCCTTATCCCATGGTGCAAATTCTGCTTTGGGACACTCTTTATTACATTGCCGAGCCACTTTTAAAATGCTGGCCCTTCTCCAAGCTAAGAGAGAAAGCTCTACAGATAGCAACAAAGCTCATCCATTATGAGGATGAGAACACTCGATACATAACTCAAGGAGGTACACAGAAGGTATCATCCGTAAAAAATTGAGCATGGATATTTGGTATTAAAATGCTCCAGAGCGCCACCATCATCATTTTAATCTAGTTGACCTAAGTTGCTGCAGAGTCAAAGTTCAGTTAGCAATCTATGAGTTTACCATAGTACAACAAATTATTGACATTGGGCAGCCAAGTGGTATCAGAATGCTTATTGCAAATGCTTCAATTGCAGGTTTTGCATATGATGGCCTGTTGGGCAGAGGATCCAACTTCAGATTCAATAAAATTTCACCTGGCCAGAGTTCCTGATTACTTGTGGGTAGCTGAAGATGGAATGAAAATGCAGGTTTGGTGATAATAATCCACCTTACCACCGCACGTCCAAATTTACCAAGCTAGTATTACATTTCTAATTGTAGCTGATTAAATTTGCTAATTCGTTTGTATTGGAAGTTAAACGGTGGTAGCCAATTGTGGGATACCGTTTTAACTACCCAAGCAATCATCTCAAGTAATCTAACGAATGAATATGCGTCTACTCTCAGAAACGCTCATGAGTTCATAAAACAGTCACAGGTTTCTTCCTATTCTCCCAATCTTTATTTCTTAAACTAATCCGCATTAATTCTATTATCTCAATCAGCTCACTTTATTTCTTGCATCAACAAATCTCTCAGCTTCAAGAAAATGCATCAGGAGACTTCCAAAGTATGCATCGCCACATGTCTAAAGGAGCTTGGACTTTCTCCGTTCAAGATGATGGATGGCAAACCTTAGACTGCACAGCTGAAGCTCTGAAGGTGACTTAGCTCCTCTGTATTTATTTATTTTGTCTCTCTAAGGTAAACAAAAAATTAGCAAATTTAATTTGCTAGCGGACGTTTGTTAATTACTCTTTTCTTTGCAGCCGATACTCTTACTCTCACAATTACCGCCAGAAATTGTAGGTGAAACAGTTGAAGTAGAACGACTATATGATGCTGTGAATGTCCTCTTGTCGTTGCAGGTATGAAAACATCTTTATCTTTGCTTTGATGAAAGCTCTCTCTGTTTTCTTGCATATTGGATATCATTGGAAAACTGTAATTCTTTTATCCTTGGCCTTGATTTTCCTTTTTCTCTTTTTATTAGAGCATAAATGGTGGTTTTACTGGTTGGGAGCCAGTAAGAGGACCACAATGGCTGGAGGTAAAACTTATAAAAAATGCACGTATTCTTCAGTTCATGCTCAAATGTTCAAAGTTTTGCCAAGCAAGTCATACTTTGCAGCAATTTTGCTGCTTAATTTTATTATTCTAACGCAGCATAAACATTTTTATTTAAATTGTGGGATTCTTTTTTTTTTCAGAAGCTAAATCCAACAGAACTTTTTGCTGCAGCAGCGATTGAGCGGGAGTATGTTCCTATTATCAGTAATTGCATTATGTTATCATTAAAGCATCATATGAAAATTTTCTTCAACATTAGTCATTTGGTGGTCTTAGGTATGCTGAATGCACTTCATCGGCCATCCAAGCTCTTGTGTTGTTCTCCCAGTTATGTCCTGGATATCGAAAGGAAGACATAGAAACTTCTGTGGCTAATGCAGTGCAATTTCTAGAAGGTTCACAGATGGAAGATGGTTCTTGGTGATTCTGAATTCCTTTCTGTGGTTTAACTTAACTTGAGCCAAATCATGAATGGATAATGGGAACAAAAGTTATAATAAGTTTAAGCTAAGATTATCACTTAATATCTGCAGGTATGGCAGCTGGGCAATTTGCTATACATATGGCACATGTTTTGCTTTAGCAGGGCTGGCTGCTGTTGGGAAGACTTGTCGCAACAGCCAAATTGTCCGTAAAGCTTGTCGATTTTTGCTTTCAAAACAGCAAGAGTCTGGTGGATGGGGAGAAAGCTATCTATCATGCCCCAATTTGGTAACTGCCATTCTCATGTTAATCAGTTTATCACTGAGCTAGGGAGCATGAATTAAGTGAAGCCAAGCAAAAACATGTATGGATGTTATTATTGCCTTGTTGGACATAACAGTAATCAGCTATTTTCCAAAAGAAACCCTGGCGTTTCACAAAGCTGAAACTCAGTAGAGGAGAGTATACAATATTTCTGATATTTTTTCCCACAAATTTTGAACAGGAATATGAACATCTAGCAGAAGGAAACTGCTCAAATCTAGTTCAAACTTCATGGGCGATGATGGGTCTGATTCATGCTGGACAGGTTATATTTTAAATATAAGTGTGTTTTCTTTTTGGATAAGCTAATCTAAATTTAGGTATTGAATATAACTATATAGTGCAATATTATCAAGTAATTGGATTATTGGAAGCTAAGACTGGGTTGTATATTTACCATATGCTAAGGAAAATGATCCATTCAAATCATGGTGAAGTGTATGATAAATCATATTAATTATAGAAAATAAATTCTGCTGATATTAGTGGTAAAAACATGATATCAAACCTTTTAACTTTGCAAATTCTACACAAACCTCAATTCCTGGTCTAAATGTTTCTTGCTAACTAGGCTGAGTTGGATCCGCAACCTTTGCACAAAGCAGCAAGACTATTGATCAACTCACAGATGGAAAGTGGTGAATTTCCTCAACAGGTATGTAAGACCTAATTTAGATCCTTCTAGAAAGTCCAATGCTTCAGGAAAGCAATTCACCCACTGCTGATAATAGATAGCATCCTTGACAGCCTGATTTTCTTAAGAAAATGGAAAGAGAAAAAAAAAATTCAGTCTTGAAATTCAGATTAACAATTGACAAGTTGCTCTTTGTTCTTTAAAAAAGGATAATATGGCTTAATGAGATGATGGTCATCATTCTCTTGAAGCAAAAGAACCATAAAAAATATTATATCTATTAAAAACTTACAAACTTTCTCTTGTTCAAGGTTTTAATTTGTATAGATGGCTTAAGATCTAGATGGAACCCTCATTAATAGCGTTTTCCTGAACTACAAATTGGTTTTCACAGGAACTCACCGGGGTCTGCTTGAGGACTTGTATGATACATTATGCTGCATACAGAAATATATTCCCATTGTGGGCCCTGGGAGAGTATTGTAAGCATGTGCTCTCGACTTCACAAGAATATTAGGCCCCCCTAGGATCTTGGAATCCTCAGAACTGTTGACTTGTTCCTTAAATTAGCATTCTTTCCTGATCAATTCGAAAAAGTTTCATCCTTGTTGGTGTTGATATGTTTAGTCCAATAAACTTGTAACTGTTATGCTGATCTCAGATCTCAGTACTGCAGGCTTATAAATCAAAAGGGGCATCAAAATGGTCCATGGTTTACTTAAAAGTAGAATAAAAAACAAGTAAATGATCCAATATCCACGCAGAAGGAAACCCCAAAATTATTTCCATGCAAAACAACAGTAGGAGTAGATGCAATCAAAGCAAGCAGACATGTAAGACAGATAAGCAAATTCTGAAATGAAAAACCGAAAATTCATATTCCCTCTTCAATATGGTTCATAAATCCACAACATAAATCGACGTTCCAAATTATTGTTCATTCCTACCAAATCAACAAAGAGCTCAAACCTATTATGAGAAGGGTTAATATTTGGATAACATTGCTTTGCTTCTATACAAACTTCATGAACCTGTTATCTTGTTTCCACCTCTCTTGATTTTCTGCAACAAGCATATTCTCAACCTGCTTTTGCAACTCTGCTCGTATTTGGTAATTTGAAGCCAAACTTTTTGTTAAATTCTCTTTCATGGCCAACAGTTCAGCCTTTTTCATCTCTGCCTCATCTATCTCAGAGTTACTCGTATGGCCATTGTTGCCTTGAAGTTCCATTAAAGTTGACATCATCTGCAAGAGAGATCATCAAATTGACAAATTCCATAAACCTATGTTAGGAAATTGAATACATAGATACAATATACTGTCCAAAGGGGCCAACCAACATTGCTCTTAGTCAATTAAAAATGAGATTGCATCCTCAGCAAACATCTGAACAGTTTTAACTTTTAGATTCTTCATTTGAAAGTCTCAATTTTTACTTTTCAATTTACCTCATTCACACAGGTCCTCAGCTCTTGCACTCGAATTCGAGATTCCACCAAAAACCTCCCCACATTTCCCCTAAATTCGTTGATTTCTGAACTCTTCGATTCGTAAAACTTATCCTTTTCCTTCTCCACCTCTTCAAGCTCCTCGATCTCACTTTTCAAAACCCTAAGATTCAACGCAGTGCATCTCATCTCAGAAATGAACGCTAAATCTACATTACCAGATGCAAATGTAAAATTATACTAATGAAATTAAACTTTCACTTTAATTGTTGAGAGCTGGAATTATATTTGGCGTCGAGGTTTTCAATTCCAGATTTGAGAGAAGAGATTTTAAAGTTTTGCGATGCGATATTTTGATCAAGCAACAAGCATCTCTGTTCCCTGGACCGAATATGAGCCAGCTTCAATTCCAAAACCTGAGATTTGTTCGCTTGTAGCTCTTTCTCCGCCTGTGGGAATGAACATGTAGAAACAAAATTAGGACTTTCTGACTTCGTTTGTCTCGGGAATCAAACAGAAAGTTGAGTTTAGATTTGACCTGGAGGAGAGTTAGGCGTTGGTTTCTAGTATGCTCCATGTTTTCAAGTCTTTCTCGAAACGCAGAGGAAAGCGCCATAGCCAATGGCTAAGTTCTTCTCAAAATGTTCGAAGTTTGAATTTTTGCATTTATATAAGGGACGAAAGTTGGGTCGCCAAGGCTACCGGTCCGGCCCGGTTTGAGGAGTTAAATGACTGGCCCAAGATATGAGCTTGAGCCCTTTTTTTCTTATTCAAAATTAGATTTCATTTCAAACGATAAACATAATTACATAATGCTTAATTTTTTTGGTAACTTAAGGTAGCAAAGGAAGAATTTGAATTTAAAATATTTTTAATAAAGTATTATTATAAATTTATGTTATATATATTCACGTATTCAATATAAAATGATGAACACAATCAGTATTATGTATAAAATTCTTAAAAACGATGCATATGATTTTGACACATTTATCACAATTTTGCAATTTAAAAATTATAAATAAGTCTTTTTGTGCGGATAGTAATGACAATTAGTCTATTAAACAGTATTAAAATGGAAAAGCATTGGAGAGGATGCCCCCCTTGAAAATGAGAGGATTGGATTGAGACATATCAAGAGACAAGAATCCCTCCTAGCAGTCAGTGCCCCTTTGGGTCCAAGTACAAGTAAAAACCTAACCTAACTGTAGAGAGAGAAAAAAGAAAAAAACCTTCCAAGTAAAAGGGGATCTTACTTTATAATAGCATCTTCCTCAAATTATGCTAGAAAATAAAGGCGATCTTTAAGAAAAGCCTAATGATGACTCCTTAACCAGGTGAGGGGTTAACGAAAAATTTATAAACCCGACAATTCTGGGTACACTCTTTGACTGATTTTGGTAATGACAAAGAGAGGATGAAACCTTTGCCATTGTTTATGAAAGCTATGTCCTAGCTATATTGCCTTTACCATATCATTTTTAGGATTTAGTACTATAAAGGGAGCGCATATGGGATTCCACCAGCAAGGGGGGGTGGTTGATGATGCGGTTATAGGTCAGAAAGGTGCTACCAACAAAAAAAAAAACACAAAGGACTTCATGAGTAAGGGAAAGGTTTGATCAGAGATAATTAAATGAACCATTTTTTGTTTTCTTTTAATGAAAAACCTGTGTGCAAAGTTAGAAATGGAGTTCTAAGTTCCTGCAATTAGAAGGTCTACTAATAGCACCAAGCCACAAACAAGTTATTTCTGTTTATTTTCGTTTTGTAAGAGAGTACGTACGTACAATGATTAAATTCTTTAAAGATATTTTAAAAGAAAACACTATTCATGGCATCACTGAACATATCAATTTGTTGAAAAAATCTTCAAAACTTCCATGACCTTTTGCATGGGTTGAGAGCCCATAAAAACTGTCAATCTTCGAGTCTGGTTTAATGATTGAAGATATCTTTCCAAGTCATGGTGAATTACAAAAATTTCAAAAGTCAATTTAATAACAAATCGCTCAGCATAATTAGCACAGCAATATGTTTGAAAATAATACAATAATAACAACTTTGGAGTTTCTTACTACATTTCCGATACTTGAGGGACCAAGCTTTCCTCTAACAGAACCATTAGTATTAAACTTCAAGGAATTAGACTGTGGTTTCCACTAGGCATTCCTTGAGAAGATGCTTTGAGACATATAAATGACTTGAAAGCAGATCTGGGATCCGTCCCCCAAACAGTATCTAGGATACTGTCATCCCCCTGCACTGCCTTAATCCAGTAAACAGATCAAAGTTTCACTAAAGAAACCAAATCATTCAAATCCCATTTTTTTCCCTTCAAAATTAGCTTCATTTTCAGCACCTCAAAGAGACCATAAAACTACTTTTCACAAATAAAAAAAACAGAGGGATTAAATCCGGGAGACAACAGGCCACACCCCACCATTTCAAAATGAATAAGCAGATGATTACAATCCTCCAAGAAAGAAAGGCACCAGGGGAAAGGCAAAACACCTCCGGGATCTAAATCCTCCTCTGGAAAAAGGAAATTTCTTTGTAAGGATGCACCCCAAGGAAGCTAATTGTTAAATTATTGTAACAGACTTTTAAAATCCTATGAGAAACTGCAAATAATGGAAGAAATTTTTTTAATCAAGAATATATCATGTTCGTCAAACTTCCAAATCAATCTATTTTATCTATTACGGATCAAATAAACATCACTTAATACGAAAATAAGTTGATGAAGAACTCTATTTTCCCATTGCGTCTAAACCTAAATTTGCCAATTTGAACTCAAAGTGCAATTATCCTGAAAAGAATCGATCTCCTTTACATCTCTATTTACAGATAGCTGAAACAGTATTGAGAAAAGCACTTTCAGGGGCATATCTTCCACCGAATGCCAAAACAGAATATTTTCATCATTTCCTGACACCTAGCAACAGTCCTCATTTCCAATGAAACTAAGAAGCCTTTCCACAAGGCTTGGAATAATCTTTCAAAACTTTGACATCCTACCAAGAATCTCTGAAGTCACCGCCTATTTACTAATAAATGCCAAATTCTTATTAATTAGATTCACAATACCCAAACCAGCCGAATTTTTTGAATGTAATAATGACAACAGAGTCTCTCCTTTGCTTAAAATTCCAATTCTAATTGCCTAACATCATTCGGAAGATGAGAGAAATTCTTCTTGTCAAGATTACATTCTTCCTTTTTGTTCCAAGTACAATACCAATGTGGCAAATTATGTTTAATCCAATGATTCCTGCCAATAGTTGAGGATAATATACAAAAGAAGGAGCTATTGATCCTTGTTACTTGAGTGCGCCGACACACAAGCATAAAATAAGCACAAGTGATCTACAACAGGGTTTTTCTTTTTGCCCTTTTTGACTTTGGCTTGTTCGTAATTAACCTACGGTACCCAAATATCCTCCTGTCAACATCTAAAAGCTTCATCACTGATTGATTAAAATGATTTAAGCTTAGCGAATTGATTAAGAAGGGCTTAATCTTTTTGCAATCACGTGCTAAAAGACAATATTATTTGGACTTTAAGGTTTTTAATCCCCTGGCCTGTTTTGTTCATTCCCGCATCAAATTTTCTTTCAACTATTTTAAGTCTTAGCTTCTTTTGTAATTAAAGTAGTACAATATTTTAGTTATTGTTCATGTCTCGAGCTTTGCCTTAACAGTTAATAGTCTATTCGGCAAAATGATGTAGGAATACGATATGCTATGGTACCACGATAGTATACGTATCTAATTTTTATTATTTGTTTATTTATTGCTTAATTATTTGATTTCTAGTAATTTAAGACTCATTGAAATGAAAAAAGAAATGAGGTTCTGAGAGATAAAATAGCAGGCCATATTTTAAAGATGATTTAATTTATCACCTTAATTAACTCCAAATACTTGGTGCTTTAAAATTCTGATGAATTGAGTTTTATAAAGCTATAACTTCCTGAAATAAAGAGGCCAAGGAGTTCTGCATTCATAATATTTAGATTATTTTGAAGGTTTATTCAATGAAAGTGAGTAAATTGAATCGAGGCTAAGAAAAAATGCATGTAGCTATAGCTTCAAGATCATTTCATGAAGCTCTTAGGGAGCAAATAGGAGAGAAAAAAACAAAAAGACCACCAATTTGCCAACATTCCCTCGTCTCTTAGAAGCAAAGGCACATGCTATATTACGAGCACATGGGACCTCAAATAAATGATCCGTTCCACTAGAGTGTAGAACATGTCATTAGCTAAATGCCCAAACAAACCAAACAAAACAAAACACCTTCAATTCAATAGAATAGCCCTTTTTTTTGTTTAGAAGGTTCACAGACATATATATATCGATTACACCCAAAAAATCTGGGTCCTTTGAATTTGTTTGCTTTCTTTTTTCCTCTTAGGTCTTAATAGAGAGTTAAAAAAAGAAAAGATGGGGAAAGTGGGGGGCCTCCAAAAATTGTTGGGGTGCATGTGCACCACGTTAGCTGATGCAGGATGAGAAGACCATCCCCATCAAGATTAACTAAGGCTGAGTTTACATTGTCTCCCTATATCCCTATAGAGAAAAAGAAAAGAGATGATCGCCAAAACAAAAGCTCCTTTGCGAAAAGGATGGCGTATGACCGATGCTGACGGTTATGTGGCCACAGGGAATAAAGCTGGGCCACCCGATTTCTGGTTGAGGATAAAGAAAGAACCAAACAAAGCTTAAAACTTTTCATTATCCAATATATTCTTTCATAAACTTTTTCATTTTAATATAATCTTTTATTTATCGTGTTTGGGGAGAGAGAGAGAAGGGGAAGGCAAAGTCTTGAGAAATCTTTATATATATCCAAGAACAGCTATGGATTCCACGTCCAAAAGTGAAAGAAAGCTTTCTTTGCAACCAATAACATTAATTTATCATTCTTTCTCTCTAACATTAATAAAACTTCTTTTTACATGAATTGAGAAATTAATAATTCTTCTACAACATCTTGCATACGGCTACAATGAAAAGAAATACAATGCGATTTTTACTCTAAGTAACAAATTAATAAGCTAGTTTTTTTTTTGTTTGTATTTGCTCCATTCTTCAACACGATCAACAAATAATCAACACAATTCACAAAGGGTATGTTATGTAATTATACCCATTTGATCATGATGGTTACTTTGATCCTTTGTTGAACATGTATTTTAAAAGGATGCTCATGAAACAATCATCGGGTTTTGGGAGAAAGGCTCTTTGGTGGTTAACTTGTGCAAAATTGGGATACCTTAATTTGGTCTTGTCATTGTTGTTTTCTTCAAGAAGGACAAGAGACCTAAAAAAGGAAAACCCCAATTTTTCTCTGACCAAAATGTAATATTTACATGCACTCCCATTTGCTTAATGTAGTCTTCTCATAAAAACTTGGAAAGTCAGCAAATACACAAACATCCAGTACACCAAGCTTTGATATTCCATATTTGCGGCCTGTTTCACAATGAATGCCATTTTAAAGAGGGAGGCAAACCAAAGAGAATAAAAGAAAATGATTAGATTATCGCTCATCAACTTTTTATTGAAGAAACAATATAATTTTCTCCTATATATAATTTTACAACAGTAATATTGCTCCGGTGCATACATTCATGTACACTTTTTTCGATCCTCTACTGTACAATTTCTCCCCCTTTTTTTTATTTATAAATTTTGTTTAAGCTAAAATGGATTAGAAGAAAGCAAAACCTATGTTTTTACCTTGGTCGCAGAGGAAGTAAGAGAAATGGAAGCTGAGGATGTTGATGAAGTAGTGGCCAGGGCTGAGAGCCCCACATTGTAAGCTATCGTTCCATCAGGTTGAAAAAGACCGTAGTTCCTTTCTGAAGTCGGCCCGGGCTTCAGGTCCTCATTGAACAGGGCAAACAAATACACTTCTAACCTCATGTTTGGTCTCAAAGGTGTCCCTTCATTGCTCATTTGCCTTCTCAACAAATTCCTGTTGTAAACAGCTGCATTCTGGACTGTTGCTCCAATTTCATCAGAGTCCCCTTTGGATGGCCACCCCGTCTCAGAAACTCTAACCTCGATCCCACCATAACCCAACCTAAACATGGCACAAACAACAGCATCTACCTGTGCATATAACATGTTGTCATAGTGTAGTTTGGTGTAAGGATCGACCATTCCTGGATTTCTGTTGAAAAGAACATAGTCCAGGGAAATCTTGTTTGGGGCATCTTTGTAAGCAAAATATGGGTAGGCATTGATCCAAAATGGGGAACCGGTGCTCGACAAAAACTGCAAAAATTGTGACATGACTCCCGATACCTCACTCTTGAAACTACCAGCTGAAGGAGGGTAAGATTGTTCAAGAACTGCTAATGAATTGGGTGTCGAAACCTGAATGTACTTATCTAGGCCTAATTGAACTAAAGCACCATGAATGCTAACTATGGCAGGGACGAGGTAACCTATTAATGATGTGTTATCGTCAGTGAAGACTTCATTTCCCACCGCGATTCCGGTGATCTTTGTGGCCGGAAAATATGGCATGATGTGGGTACTCACCCATTGAAGTGCTTGTTGGGGATCCATTACGACTGGTAGCATTTGGTTTTCGACTGTGACAATAAGCTCAATGTTAGAGTGGGCAAATGTTGTTAAAATTTGAGGATTGGTGTCGTAGATTCTTGCTTTTGTGAGCTTAAGGGAGCTTAAGAGATCAAGAACCCTGTCGGGTGGAGGCAAATTGTTGCCAACTTGACCATAGTTGATGCCTAGAGAAGTAACTCCTTGCAGAAAACCATAATCTGTAAAGCAACAAGAAACATATTAGATACAACATTCGCAAACAGAACTAAACTGGAATATCTAAGCTCATGCAACAAAGAAATCACTATTGATATGCAAATGGAATATCAAAGGAAGGAAACGAAAACAAAGAAGGGGTCGAGTACCTGAAAAACAGAGAGAAAGTAGAACGAATCCATGAATCATCACGACAATTCTTCTTAAAAACGTTGCCATGAAGAGAGAAAGAAAGAGAGGGGAGATAGACGGAGAGAGTCTTAAGAATTTCGGAATGAGATAGAGGGAGAAAATATACGGAGAAGATGAATTCTTTTCTTTGCTTGTTTGAGCTTAATTTCGAGGGCTCAGAGGTTTTAGCTTGCCTTGACCATGTTACCTTCGTTCCCTTTCCTCTTAACTTGTTTTTAAACGACTTGGTTTTCTCATTGTCTTCGACTCCATTTCTTTCTTTTGGACTGGCTTGTCTCTTTCCAACACAAGCCAACTTCTCGCAATTTCTTGTGCGTTATGACCCAATTGCCCCGCCCACTTTCTTCAGACAAAAGGAAACGGAAAATCCCACTCATGGTTAAATATATTAATTGCTACAATTTCTTTTAAGAGACTAATAAAAGTTAAATACCCCGAGGCAAGGAATTAGGTCAGAATTTAGGTAAGGTTTGTTAGATCAAGTTTGTGAGGCTCTTTCTTAAAAATAATTAGATAAAATTTAAATTTAATTAAAAATCTAAAGGACAGATTAAACCACCTTATTTTATATATAAAGTATATAAAATTTGAAATAATTTGAATTTATTTTGATATCTTTTTTAAATAGAAATTCTTATTAAAAATTTTGACAAGATTTTTACCATTTAATAAATATTTATCAAATTTTATCTATAAATGTTATTTTTTATTAACTTTATATACATTAATAACCTTTTCATCAAGTTCTATAAATATATTCGTTTAGATTTTCAAATTTAATTTTGATTTGATCATTTTTAAAGAAGAATTTCAAGAATTTGACTAAGAATCGGAGGACATATCCTATATTCAAAGTGGAGTGAAAATTTTAGTTATCAATGAAATGATAATAACCCATACTTTAATTTAAACTATCTATAACCCTTAGAATCCTATAGCTTTTAGAGCAGAGGTTCTTCTAAGACAGTCACTTTTATCTAAAAGGACAACAGAAGCTGATTATATATATGACCCATATATTCTATCCAACTGAAGCCTTCTTTGAGTGAAAATTGCATAAACAAGTAGTACTAGTATCTCTTTTTTTTTCTTTGCATGTGCCCCGGTTAGATCAATGGGAAGAAAGGCAGAAAATTAATATTGTAAAATCACTTTTTTAAGCATTGCAGATTAAATTAGATGCACAAGGCAGAAATCGACTAGTGAGACCTTAGTCCTAACCTCAAAATGAATTAAATTACATTTGGGTATTAATTTCTTATGTATCAAAAAAGGAATCATATATTCCTCCTTAGTTTTTAGGGATAAATGAATAACTATTAGGCTACTACAATTGAAGTTATAACTCTTTTCCATTTATTGACTAATGCATACTTATTTAGTTTATTGCATTCGATTTGTTAGGAGGTTTTAAATATTCGGTTGCACCATGAGTCACTTTAATGATATGTCAATTGACAGTTGTGGTTCTCCTTGAAAGGCAAAAAAAAGTTGAAATCCAACTCAACTATTTAATCTGGATTACCAACTTATGAAAGGTAACAGAAGAGTTAGCTAGCGATTGTGGTCAAGTTGAATAAAGTTGTAACTCTGCTTTTTCGAGAAGGGGACAAACAAGGTGTGCATAGCAATGGTTTTAGTACATTATTTTTTGCTGGGAAAATTGGTCGAAAGATCACAAAAACTAAGTAATTGGGCCAAAGAGAAACCCAATTGAAAAGTAAGGTTTGGTGAGTGGATAAGGAATGGTATACGTAGAAATTTCCAAAGATAACTATCCTTATCTTAAGTCATGGTTCTTTTCAATCCTTTTTCTCAAAGTAATTAAAGATGATGCACCCACGAGAAAAAAAAAAAAAAAAAGACCCTGAAAGCACTTGTTTGGTTTTCCAGGGGCAGGCGCAGAGCAGAACATCAAAAACATGGTCCGGTTTCATTTCATGTACACGCAGGCAACCTGTTAACAGTCAAAAAGAGAGACCTTTCTTTCTATATTACGGCACATGTACCAATTACTACTAACTATTATACGGCTGCCATATTCCAATGGCAGCAGCCACCGCGAGACTCTGCAATGCCCCGTCAGTTCTTGTCATCTTCCATTAAGTTTCGGATTTTTGTTTACTAGGTGTGGGGTTTGGGCGGTCGTGGCAGAATCTAAAGAGTCGTTGTCGAGGTTGAAAGGTATATCTTAAGATTTGAAATAGGTAATCCTGAATACGAAACCTTCGCCTGCGCCCTTCCTCTTTACAATTTTGGTTCACACATGTAAATTGGGGATTTAAAGGTCGGCTTTTGATGTGCAGTTTTCAAGTTAAACCGAGTAATATACATAAAAGGCCTCCAATTGAGCTGGAACGTACTTTTGACCCTTCTCATTTAAGTGAACTCATCAATCTAGGCGGCTACCAGTCTGGCAGTCGTCAAATAAAATCTTGCACTTATCTG